AAACATAACATCTCAGCAAAGTGTTCAATCTTATTTCATGTCATTATTACTGCAACAAAAAAAACCTAAAAAAACAAACCCCAAACAACAACCAAACATAACATCTCATTAGTTAATTCAACTTCAATTATTCTGGAATAATATATCAACCATATCAATGATAATGGTTAGCTGGAATAAACTAGAATCAATTTTAATTGATCGGATGTTGGAAACGATATAGTGCTTTTAGTCTTTCTAACTAATTATTACGGCTTGATTGCGATAAAAGGAAAAAAAGACACACATTTATTTATAAACGGTCCTTCTATTATTTCAATGATTTAATCTGGACAAAAAGCTGACATTAACCCCCTTAAAACAAATATACCCGAATATCTATATAAAACAACCGCTTCTCTATAAATCTTTAATACCTTCGTCAATTGGGGAACGTAAGATATTAACACATAACATATTCAAGATCTACAAATATTTTAAATTCGCAACTGATGGCACAAAATTCTACACCTCCCAAATCCTTTTCTTTTTGATCCCCATAAAGCCATTCATTCATTGTAAATGTCTCTTGCAGCTTCCATTGGATTATAGTGAAGTGCCTTATTTTATACTCCGTCCAAGTGGATTATTTATATGATATTCATATTGTTGGATTATAGTGAAGTGCCTTATTTTATACTCTGTCCAAGTGGATTATTTATATGATATTCATATTGTTGGATTATAGTCAATTGCCTTATTTTATACTCCGTCCAAGTGGATTATTTATATGATATTCATATTGTTGGATTATAGTGAAGTGCCTTATTTTATATTCCGTCCAAGTGGATTATTTATGTGATATTCATATTGTTGGATTATTTGTATTTGTTTATGTGTTAAAAGGATTACCGGGATATCGATTGCTTCATTGTTAATATTATTGTTGTTATTACTTGATGCTTTGTATTTTTATATATAACGTTATCACCTGGATAATCCCGTGTTTTTTGTCTTATTGAAACTAGAAAGAGAGAATTTGGGGATCTTTAAACGTCAAGTCATTGACATTAATTCAGAGTCTCGGGTATGAGACAGTGTATGAGTACAGTCACGTTTGAGCTGGCGCTTGCCCTCTTTTACTCCGAAGAGTAGCCGTGGTCCGCGGATAGACCGAAAAACCACATCCCTTGGATTCCCGCCCAGTGCTGAGCACACCCGCCCTTTCCATTGCATTAAGAGTAGGGGTAGAGTGGTCGTATTGTTTAAATACTCAAATAACAAACACCAAAGACTGGATATACTAAATATGCGGCTCGATGAATGTTAGAGGACAAAACCGGAAATACCCAAAAGTATTGCGGGTTACAGACGGCAGCGCCAGCTGTCTGCAAGAGGCGATTGGGTCCTCCTTTGGAAAGTTTGACGGTCACAAACGCGTTTCCTGCTATTCCAGTCCGTGCATACAGCAACTTCAAAGTGGTCTAATATAGGCTACCTTAGTTGGCTGACTCGAATTCCAATAAACTAATCAATTGTTTACAGTCCACGGAGACGGGTACGTCTGAAGGAAATTTTGAAAATTTAACTGCCGCCAACGCGTTTTTCGTCTATTCTAGCCCGTGAATACAGCAACTTCAATGTGGTCCAGGTTAGGCTACCTTAGGTGGTTGACCTGAATCCCAATCGTCACGGCATATTGGGCCGCGCCTTCCCCGAGAAAATTTTGAAAACTTAACCGCCGCAAATGAGTTTCTCTGCTATTCTAGCCAGTGAGGTAAGCAACTTCAAAGTTTTAAATCGTTTTAAATCCCGCTATATGCCCACCTGTCGAGTTCCAACCATCCAATCGGACTGTTACAGCTGAATTCACAAATAATAATCGTTGCACGAAATATGTCGCTCAAAGTAGAGTGGACATGTTTCAATCCATAGTCAATCCAGTATAAATTCGTGGTGTTCAATTTAAAGAAAGGTAAAATTAGTGTTTTATCTTGCCAACTAGATGAAATAATAATTTTTTTTCACTTTACCCGTCTGCCCGAAAAGTCAGTTGTCCAAAAGTTGGGGGGGGGGGGGGGGGCACATTCACATTTACGTACATTGAAAACAGATTCTATTTGGATAGAACTTACAATCGATAGATGAAGGGATGGTGGGCGGTGTGGGTGTGGGTATTTAAAATGTAAAATACGGGTTATCGTGTAAGGCATAACCGGAAAGTATTTTTCTATCCCTCTTTCAATATATAAGTTATTCCCTGGCACATTTATGATTATATAATTGAAAAAAGATAAAACTCGCTTTCGTTTGAGAAAAGATACATGTCGCTATCAGACAATAACCTAATTTCTGAAAATAGACTTTCAATTTATTTTCTTTATAGAAGGCCCATGCACGTGGTTTCCCTATAATCATAGTCATCGAGCGATTTTTCTTATTGTATATATTAGGGGCATTCTCCACTCATTGCGCAGATTGCAATCTGCGCTGCCGTGTAATTTGCGCCCATTTTGTCAGCGCAAATTGGACCCTGCACGCACCGATTGTTATCAGCGCGTATCAAGCTGGTGCACAGATTGCCAACTTTTCGCTGATTACGCCTCGATGTTTTTCAGGATCAAAGTCGGATGTTAGACGTCCCGTGTAGGATCTGTCCTCTACTGACTTTGTACTGTAATGATTTTCAATATCACTAAATAATTAGCGTGTGTGCTAAAAATAAGATTTGTTCGAGTCCGCAGATAACCTTCGCTATACGTCAACTGATCACGTGGATGAATGTCCAAAAATATTTGCTTTCATTACCGTTAACAGTGATCCATGGTTAATACCGAACAGGACAAGGCGGATTATCAGTGTGTGAAATAACTTTATTTAACCTCAGCTTCTATCTAAGCGATATCGCAGACAATTACAAGTTATAGATACAAAATTAAATTTTTACAAGGTGATGAGACAAAAATTGAACGGATTAGTGAAGTATTTAATGACGGGGCGGATTATCAGTGCGGTAATCCCTTAAATACCCTAAACAGAGTTCACACCGCGCGCGCAAATTAGTCAACGAAAATTAGACTGCGATTCGCGCATGCGCGGTGGTATTCTGTCCACGTTGGCCATTTTGCTCCCAATATATATATATATGCTTGCTCGATTCCCCATTATTGTATGGTGCCTTATTGTATGCCAGGTTGATTTCCGCTCATGTCGTCATAATGTTCCAGTTCGATGAGTTTCGAAAATGTTTTTGGAGAAATGTTTTGCAAGATTTGTATTTGGAGAATTTTATTTAGAAATTTGTTGTTCGTTGTATGTCTCTGATGAAATGGAAATGTAGGCTAATTTTTTGAGTTTCGAAAATAAATTTTAGCTTTATATTAAATTAGAATTGTATTTACATCAGAAGTTGATGTGTCCTGAGGACCGGGGTTTAATTCTATATCATTACAAACAATCAGTAAACTAAATAAAAATAAATAAAATATTAACATATTATAGTAAGGCTTGTATTTAACAAAACACCTTGTCGTCTCATATCTTAAATACAACAAACAAGCATTTTTAATATAGCTTGAATGCCTTCGATCAGTTTTTTTTTTTGTTTTTTTTCCACAATCAAAGCAACAACAAAACTGTTGTTCCCTCCACTCGTCCATGTTTTCACTTCATAAAGTTGCAAAATTCAATTTTGTTGGCATAACTACTGTTTTACGGTCGGATCTATAAATGAGGGGGAGATATAATAACTTATATTTTTCTGGGCATTACAATAATGGGACATTACTAATCCTTTATCGGCGGATTCGATAATGCTAGACTTTATGACTCAGGAAAGTATTTGGTGTTTCTACTCTGTTGTGCAAAAATTTCACGAAATAAGAAACAATTGGTTTGGGCTGGTTGATTTGTTATTGTTTGGTGTAAGGCAATTTCTCTGTTATTTTTAGAGCAAAAGTTCACCGTGGTTGACTTATTTCTTCTAATTAGTAAAATAATACATACCTGATCAGGCATAATAATTGTGTCGCAATAATATTTTTCTGTGGGCTGATAGTGGAACAAAAAACTATCAGTCAGGAGGTAATTGGTAGTTGACTATAAATTACCGGATGTGGACACTTCGGTTGACACGGCAAATATTGGAAGTGGGCGTGGCCTGCCTATGTGTTTGTCCACCCAAAACGATCGCCATGTTAGTTCAAGAAATTGAAAACAAGTATGGCGGTTGTTTTGGGCGTAACCCTTTTTTTATTTAATTATTTCTGTAGTTTTATAAACGGAGTTCAGATTTAATTTACTTTTAATTATCTTAATATACATGTCAGGCGGGTATATTTAACCTTTATACCTGTTTAAACTTCCATTATCATTGATAAGTGTTAAGTAATTAATGTATCGGAATGCGTCATGTTTAGACGTTTAGCCACTTTATTATAATCAGTTTGTCTTTTAATGTTCCTGAAAGCGAAATTTAGATCTATACAAAAAGAAAAAAGTTAAGTCCCGGACATGTTGTGGGTTTACCTACCCACTATTCATGATTTGTATGACCAATGTCTTCTGTGGAATCTACATGACATTGTTCATCTTAATTTTATTTCAGACTCTGCACCTTCATACTTATTGTGACTCATTTTTTGGCTCATATACAACAACATGAAATTATTTTCAAAACCATGATTACAATCTCAAAAAGGGAACCACTCTATATGTTTTATTATCGTCAAAGATCTATTCTTGTAGACTACATCTGTTTTTCCAAGGTTTTATTATCAGGGTTTCAACGCCATACCTCAGAAGACAAGTCAATGTAAAAAATACATAGGGTGCTTAACTTTTTTCTTTGTGTATATATAATTGTGTATTAGCTATGAATGCGGCGGGATAAGTTCCCATTGGTAAGCCAATAGTTTACTGTATTATCTGATCCCTAACCTCAAATATGACGTTGTCAATAATAAGATGTATATCATTCGCTGGTTTATAAATATGAATTAGTATATCAATTGTCGAGGTGGGCGTCTGTGATGCTTTAAAAGAGTAGAATTCTACTAGCTGGCAATAACTTGACAAGAATTGATCAGTAAGTTTGGATAATTTATTGGGGAAGATTTGTAAAGTTGCTTGTAACATGTAGGTGAGTAATACTTACAGTATACTTAAAGATGTTGATAAAGTTTTTGTTTTTTTATAAAAAAATATTTTATTAAGGATTGTGGGACAGGCATAGCCTATGTAAAAACCTGCTCCCTGATCATAAGTTGTACATTGATTTATTGGAAAGTAGTTGTAGAATCGATATCAACTACATTTAGTAAAACTAAAATATAGATATCAATATTTGGATACTAACTAGTTTTAGTAACGATGCGTGATTTTCATTTATTGGAAAATAACAAATATCTCACGGGTTGACATGTACTCTGATTACTTATTTATTATTGAATTAAAAGCAAAATCAAAGCACCAACTCTAGAATATCTCCCGGCTTGGATTCTTTTGGATTAAAACAGTCATTAACATCTAATTACATATATTCCAAACGGTAATAAAATAAGCTTACAAAATATTATTAATAAAAGTTAGCAAAGTCATATTAAAGGGGTGCACACTCATTCTAAACGTCGCTAATTTTTCAATATTTTAATGTGAAAGACGGTTAATGTTCAGAGTCAAAATTCGGACCATCTTACAAATTTCTGAGTATCCAGCTAAATATATTCTGAACAGGAATTCAATAAGCTTTCCAAATATTATTAGTAAAAGTTGGCAAAATCATATTAAAGAGGTTCGCTCTAATCCAAAACATGGCCATTTGTTTAAAAACAATTTACAGGGAAAGACCGTTAATATCCCGATTTAAAAATCGGACCATCGTACAAAATTCTGAGCATCAAACAAAATATATTCTGAAGAGTTATTAAATAAGCTTTCCAAATATTATTAGTAAACGTTGGTTGGCACAATCATATTAAAGGGGAGCGCTCTCAACCCTTTTCTAAATGTAAAGATAGACCAGTATTTGTTTTGAAGTTCAAATTCAGACAATCGTACAAAATTCTGAACATTCAGCTATATATATTCCGAAAGGCTATTAAATAGGCGTTCCAAAAATTATTATTAAAAATTGGCACAATCATACTAAAGGGGCGCACTTTCAACCTGAACATAGCCAATTTTTCAATATTCTAAATGTAAAGATAGACCAGTAATTTTTTCGAAGTTCAAATTCCGATCACGGTACAAAATTCTGAGCATATTTTGAATCGCAATTCGGATCATCGTACAAAATTCTGATGCCCAACTAAGAATATTCTGAAAGGCAATTAGATAAGCTTTCCACATATTAGACCAGTAATTTTTTCGAAGTTCAAATTCCGATCACGGTACAAAATTCTGAGAATATTTTGAATCGCAATTCGGATCATCGTACAAAATTCTGATGCCCAACTAAGAATATTCTGAAAGGCAATTAGATAAGCTTTCCACATATTATTAGGAAATCGAGAACACACAAGACAAATCAGAAAAATGAAACAATTAAAGATGAAATGATTTTAAACAATAGACAGTATATATGGAGGATCTAGAGCACAAGTGATCTAACTACCAATTGTCATATTTTGAACTATTTAGTTGGCCATATTCTTTGACTCATAATGTATTTCGTGTCAAGGTATCTGAGTAGTGGGATTATTAATGTCAGGGCGGATAATTAAAAAATGCATGGCCTAAATGCTCCGAAGTTGATTGTGATCTACCTGAAGTTAGGCCATCTGTCTTCTCACTGTTAATAATGGCAGTTACGGTGTGATATGCGGCAATATCGAAAGGAACCGCGATCTTTGAGTTATAAACATACCTTTAAAGTTTTAGCAAATCTGATAAAAATTGTAACCCCTATAGGGAGTCCACAGGCTAAAGCGTGATTTTTCGTACAATGCTGTCGCCATAATCCATGAAGTTATGATCCGATACTCGCCAATATCGAAAGGAACTGCGATCTTTGGGATATAAACCCATAATTAAAGGCTCGTCAAAAGCCGAATAAAAATTGTCACCTGCTGAGTGTGCAAAACAAATTTGAATAGACATACGGACGGACAGCCATATAAACGGACAGGGGCAACGACATGAAAAACAGACCAAAACTGCTGGACAAGATGGCCGCCCCTCGTACGTAAAAAGTGTAAACATCTGGTAAATCAAAGTTGTGAACCCTCTAGAGGCCACAATTTTGATGCAATTTTGATGAAACTTGAAACGCGAGTTTATAACCCAAGGACATTGGTTCCTTTCAATATTCGCTCATATCGGATCGTAACTTCCTGAATTATGGCCTCTGATTGTACGCAAAATAGCGTTTTTAGCTTTGGTCCCTCTAGAGGTCACAATTATTATTCGATTTAAAAAAAAACATTCGAATATATCACAGTTACACTGTAATGTTTGTTGAGTTCGAATTTCGTGAAAATCAGGCCAAAACTGCCGGAATAAATGGCCACTTCTTGTTCACAAATAGTGTAAACATCTGGTAAATCAAGGTTGTAGACCCCCTAGAGGTCACAATTTTGATCCGATTTCGATGAAACTTGAAATACATATTTATAACCCAAAGATATTTGTTCCTGTCGATATTCGCGTATATCGGATCGTAACTTCATGAATTATGGCCCTTGATTGAACAAAAAATCACCTTTTTAGCTTGTGGTCCCTGTAGAGGTCACAATTTTTATCCGATTGATTAAAAAAAAAGATGAAAATATCACCATTACACACTTAGTTCTTGGTTCCTTAACTTAACTTCCTGGATTACGGCCCTGATTGTTCGAAAAATCGCATTTTTAGCTTGCGGATTCTCTAGAGGTCACAATTTTTTTCCGATTTTATAAACCCTTTAAATACATCACCATTCCACCATAATGAAGGCTGAATTCATAATTCGGGAAAATCGAAATGAAACTCCGCGACAAAATTGCCGCTCTTTGTACGCAAATTGTGTAGAAGAGTGTAATACGAAGGTTGTGGACCATCTAGAGGTCACAATTTTTATTCGATTTTGATGAAACTTAAAAGATATCTTTATATTCCAAAGATCTCTATCCCTTTTGATATTTGCACATTTCAGGCCATAACTTTCTGGATTATTGTCCCTGATTGTACAAAAAATCACGTTTGTTTTTAGCTTGTTCTCTTTCCATCTCTTGCAAAATGTGGACGTATCCTGCCTGGTTAAAAAAAGGAACGAACACCTGATTATGGTCTGTCATGTTGTCTACTCTTAAGACTTTTGTATTGGGTTTCCGGTTTCTCCCCACCCCAAACAACCTCTATACGCAATTTTAAATTATCGTGATATGGAAATATGAAATAAGTTTATCCAAACTTGATGTTGTTTTTTACTTTCATATTCAGGTTATAACAGGGATGGCATTTTGGGTCAAACACACGGCGCTATTTGTCGCCATATTATTTGTTTTACAGAGCTATGTTCGTTCGGAGATATGTAAGTTTAATTATATCTATATATTTAATTTATAAAATATATTCCCTGTATTAAGTTTGACATACATAATCTCTATCATCCAGAAAAAATATACTACGAATATTAGTCTGGATGCGTTGTCAACATTTGAGAATAATGGGTCATTGCATAGATTATCCGCTCTTTTAGTTTAACGTAAACAAAGTCTAAGGGAGGTAACTAGTCCTTAAACAAGATGGTCTCAGACTAGCAATTATTTGCCCATTGACTTCAATGTTAAATGGCTGTAACATCACAGGCTGTAGCTTTTTTCTCAACATTCCGTTGGTTCCAATCTTTTTAGGCACAATGGGACAACATTTGGCAAACTCCTCATCATAATTTTGTAGGGGGTTGACCGTTTAGATTTTTTGATACACGGATTTGAAGTTGACTGGGGTGAAAATCTCACTTCCGACACAATGACTGCTCTGCAGAAAGACACTTTACACCCCCTATCCCTCCGCTGTAATATCATCCGTATTACCCAAAACTGCTATGTAATTGCAAATTTGATCCCTTTTCTCCAATTCTAGACCAAAAAGTCAACCCAAAAATGCAGGAAGAGGGGAGAAAAAAATTAAGGGAAAAATTGTCTATTTATAACTCGCACTACATTTGTCAATCATGAAATAAAGGGAAATAATTACTAGTCTTAGTCCAGATGCGACTCCCATGAAATTAATTTAAGCATGCCATTTCAGAAAATCCATTTGATTGCATTCAGCACTGTCATTTTTATTATTGTAAAATTTCTCTCTTCATGGGCCATATCTATGTTTTATTTTTAATTAATTATAATTCGTCGTCACGATTCATGTTTGTTTATAATAATGCAAGAATTGTGGGATGTATTGTGGGAAGGGGTGTAACTCTTACTTGATCGGCCAAAGATACTGCATAATCAACCACATAAACAACCAAACTTCCGGTTACGCATGGGCAATGGAACTTTTCGTCAAATATTGAGAACGTTCCCAGACCCTCCGTAGAGGTTCTGGGGTGACCGAGACTATGACATATATACATGGATATTATAAATTATATGCACGGCTTTAAGTCTAACATATATGGATATTATAAGTTATATGAATGGCTTTAAGTCTGATAAACATGTACTTGAGTTTTATAGTTTATGTTAAACCGTTCATTAAGTTTTCTCTGTATAAGTTCTCCCCAATAATTATTATGAAATGACATAGGGTTTAACGTCCTACTGTTTTGCTCCGAGTGGGCTAATGAAGACGGGGCGGCGCAAAAACTTATAACGTAAACGGTATAGTATCTTATAAGGGCAAAGTTAACAATACAAAATAGCGATATCGTATGTTAAATACACTCCTCTTGTCCGCGGATCGGTAGTTGTTTTATTTGTCGTGCACGAGACAGGGTATTCTTGTGCGGTTCACTGACAGCCTTGAATATTCCCTGACATTCGTATTAAATATTCGCATGTTTATTTTATTAATGATTTTAAGCGATATCAAATAAACAATAACAATCCTATAAATTCTAAACAGTGGGTGATTATCTAATTATTTTTTCTGGTTTCGTTTCCAGCCCGAAGTATCGATCAACGAAAGGCTTCTTATAGTAAATCTAGTGTTGTAAATAACACCGATGACACAAGTAGAGTTCTCGAAACCGTTTATACATCTCGGAAAATGGATTGTTCCAGAGCCTGTACAGAGAAAGCTGATTGTGAGCGATATTTGTATTGTTCCCATGATTCATCCTGTAAATTATATCAAGATGGCGGAGATTGTGTTAGGTCTGGTGATACAACTGGTTGTTCCTGTTACACACAGGTTAGTAGTTTATATTAAAATGAATCAATGATTGAGTTCGACCCAGTATTAATTACATTGAATTACATTCGCTGAAATACACGAACAGTTCAAATTGAACGATGGTTGTTTAGACCTGCTTAGTCCATTCTACAAGTTTTATTTTTATAATTGTTTTGTTGTTCGTGAATCGGCCTTTATTTATTACTTCCACATTGTATTATAGGATATGGTTTATTTGTTCATTACAAAACCATTGGGTACACGACTCGTGTACTAATTATAAAATGTCAATTGTGTCTTAGATATTGGATTTAAGGATCCTATATTTTCACAGCAAGACACCAATATCAGTGTTGATGAAATTGACCAATATTGAATTCTAATTCGTGTTTTTAATTTTGAATATTATGGAAAATATTGGGTTCAAGATTTAGCTCCTTTAAATAAATTTAATAACAATAATTTGGCCATTTCAGTTTGTTTGGATATTTGGGAATAATTAAAACATTATTAATCATTTACGCAAATTAAAAGTTTCATTTATTAAGTATTTTCTCGTTAGTTTTAAAACTTTCCACTTCTAAGGATTTCCTACTTTGTATCTTTCGTTAGTCTTAAAATTGGCTTTTCTTCTTAACAGACTATTCGTTGTGAGGATTCAGATTGTACCTGTCCTTCAGGCCAATATGGAGAAGGATGTGAAGCTACCATTTCAGGTAAAGTTAAAGCATTATAATTCAAAATTAACGTCCAATGCTTACTTCATGTTTTAAGATGCGGTTGAACGTCTCACTGTTCTGCTCCGACTGGACTAATAAACACGGACGTACGTCATATAGTGTGATATTAGGAACTTCTTACGTGGAAACCAATTTATACCGGGATCTTGGTTTTCGTCCCATACAAACGATTATACGTTGTTCCTTGCCAGGCCCCCTGTCCTGCACCACTGACAAAGGGACCCCACCGAAAAATCCCGATGAACGTTCTAGTTCAACGCAAGGGTCGAACATGGAATCCACCGGTTAACTAGTCGTCGTCTCACTATAAGCCACTGTGGCTCCCTACAAAGATAAAAAGGACAGAAAAGGTACCTTCGAAGGTTGAACACTACTTGGAGCGACGTAAAGTTAGCTTGTGATTCGTGGTTCCTGTTTCGTTATTCACTAATAACGAATCACGATTTAGGTTGTGCTTCGTTATTCACCAGATATAGAATGTAATAAAGTAATATAATAAAGCCGCTTTTATAGTGGATAAGCCGGGTGTGTTTTTTTTTATGAACCCAATTGGTTTATAAAACTTCAAAGTCTTGGGAAATAGATTCTGATAGATTCTAACAAGTTGTCTTTCTACCTGAATAACGAGCCGTTTCATATTGACGAATAACGAACCACGAACTAGAGCCCTTAGCTCGTTATTCCTCATAAACAACAGGACGTTAAAGCTCATTTTATATAAGATTTGACTGTAAACCATCTTGCACGTATTGGTAAAATAAACTACCTGTAATGAAGAGCGTTAACCCACATCTCCCAGAACACACGTGCCATTACCGCGAGTTATAATTACCCGAGTCACTGAGTCACCGCTAAAATCTTTGGGTACTAAAATAACATTTATGTTTTCAGGTTGTATTACCCCCGCCTCACCTTATTCTGATGAACATGTAATACCAGAATTTGACCAGTCTGTTAGACTGTGGCGTAACGGCACCAATCTTACATACAGCTGTTCTCCGTCCTACTATCCTACTGTCGACTGGACATGTAAAGCTAATGGTACTTGGCAGGAACCAGTCTGTAAAGGTGAGAGACGCTGATTCGACTGTACCTTCCCTGAAGAAGGTCAAGATCCCGTGTACCTTCAGAGTTATAAAGTTAAAGAGAGGAGCAAACAATCAGTTTATCGTTTCGAGGTCCGAGGATAGTTGGTCCATATATTTGTCGGTATCAGCGTACAAATAAACGTAATTTATCCCAATATTATCTGAGCTCGTGCTGATCAGTTATGGCTAGGAACATACGGATTCGAATTGATTTCCGCTCGTAAAACAATGTTAAGGAATTGTTAAGAGAACTCAAAATCGCTCTGGGGAGCCGTACGACTGTCTACTGGTATATTATTGTCGGATCACTTTTCCGGAACCTGCCAATTGATCATAGAGTATCCATTGCAAATCTGTTTATGATTATAGTAAGATAGTGATTATTAACCATTTTGTAAATTATGACTCTTCTATTCCAGGTTTAAAAGAATGTACAGAACTGAATCAATGTAATCCGATATATTCAGATGGGAAATATGTATTAACCATTTTGTAAATTATGACTCTTCTATTCCAGCTTTAAGAAAATGTACAGAACTGAATCAATGTAATCCCGTATATTCAGAAGGGAAATATGTATTCAAATATCCTGGTTCGTATCTTTTTATAATTAATAGGCGATCCTCATTAATCCAGTCGGTGCAGAACAGTTGGACGTTGAACCCCATTTTATTTCATTTCATTTCATATTTTTTTTATAATTTAAATCATATTTTATGGGTACTTTATACAATATCCGGGGGCTGTATTCAATGAATTTCCTTACACTTAAGTTTGAAGTATTAATTGTCACCTTACGTAAAACGAAAGTACACCTCAAATCTGTATTTAATTGAGAAAAGATCTTATTGTGATTATTTCTTTATCTTATACATAAACCGTCCAAAATTGTGGTAGCTGTATTTGACTTAAATTAGGTTTAACAAGTGAAATTGGTTTTGGTTATGGTCTATCGCTTTTCTTGACAAAAATATTTTGTCGAATTTTCATCAGTTAAACTTGTAAAAATTTTGATGTATTAAGAACCTTATTAATAGTTACAGCTGCGTTTGAAATGTAATTTAGACAGTTCAATAGGAGCAATCCAGACATATTTTAAACCCAAATGCTTATGAACATGGTAGAAAGAAAAATTACAATCTGTCATACTGCAATCTGTGTTCCCAATTTGCTCTGCTGTCCATATTCCATGTACTGTGTTTGTTTTATAGGAAGTGACCATGACATGATAGTACAGTGTCTCTCATCTGTTGTTATTCCAGGAACTGACCATGACATGATAGTACAATGTTTCACAACATCAGGTTGGACTTATGTACCTCTATCACCTTATACCACGTTCAGTTACTATTCAACTAATTATTCAGCATCTTGTCATCCAAAACAGTATACATGTGGTTACAGATATTTCACTGTTATTCCATTACTAATCACGTCCACTGTAAGTATGTTCGCTGATTCTTTCTAAACTATTTAATCTATACGTTCGTTTTGTAATTATAAAATGTTACAGTAACTTTGCTAAGTGATTTTCCGAAAGTCGTTTACCCGGTTGTAATGTATCTGACTTTATACGATTGATATTCTGACTGTATAGGACTCTAATTCTGACTATGTAGGGTTGTGATGTATTAGAATGTATATGATTGTAATGTATTTAACTTCATAGTAATATAATATAGAGGGTATTGATTAAATCTTCACTTTACTTCCTACTAATAAAATAACAAGAACATAAGCTGGGCTTAGAAGTATTTAATTCCCACAGTTCCACATTATCAAAATACAAGTTACAAATAACATTATAACCAATAAAGTATTATATTATGATGACGTCACAGTGTGTACATACAAGAACTAATACTCCCAAATCCCAGGTGAATCTAACTTCTTACGGGAGAGTAGGAAATTCTTATGACCCCGTGGATAAATGCGATTGAAATGATTTAATCACTAATGATTTAATCACTTAATTTTGCCGTTGACATTCGGCTCAGTGTAGCGAAGGTATGCATCGTTCTTCCAAAAACCCAAATCTTGGATTATAGTACTTGGTACTCCAATTTTATGACACCATGTAGCCCCATCCCTACGAAATGAATGGCCACTAAATTTGCCTTGTTCCCCCTAATATGCTAAGAATATTACGGAGTCTCTGAAGGAAGACTTCATAAGATAAGGCTTCACCCGTATGGGACAAAAAGAAAGGGGAACGAGGTTGATGTTGACAGCGTCTATGCTGCACTAATAAGTGATGTATAGCACTAGCTGGACACAGTATAGAATGCTGCAGAAAAAGTCGGGGCATGGGAACATGTAACTGGTGTTCCCTGAACTGTTATTGAGCAGAATAACATGATCACTTTTACTTGGTTGGAATATCTGATATACAAATCTCCGTATCAAAGTCAAAACAGCCATTTGTGAGAACATTTCCTGGATGCAAGAGCCCAAAGAACCTTGCAAGACAGGGTTATCCAGAGACTTGAATCGGAAATAATAAGGTAGGGTCTATGGGGGTAGCCAAGTTCACGCTTAACCCCTTTCAATAAATGTTCAACAATCCAGTTGTCCGTTAATGGATTTGGGTAGCCAGACACGTGATGAATAGGTTTTATAATTGTAAGATAGCTTTCATTATTCTGTAATACTACTTCAGTAGATTCAGACACACAATCAATGTTTATCTTGTCATAAAACTATCTATAACACGACAATTGAGTACGGTAAGTTCTCTTAATGGTAATGGTAGCATTAAGTTCTCTTAATGGTAAGGGTAGCATTAAGTTTCTGTTGAAACCGAAGAGCACCATCTAGAATGTATAAATTTAAGAGACATATGATTAGCAAATTCGATAATTGAAAATGGGATCAGACCACTACTGTGTGGCGGGAGCAAAGAAAGGGCCATAGAAAACATCACAGGGTCGGCTAATTGGTTTGCTCTCCCTATAATATGTCTAGCACACAAAGTGTAGTTGAGGGTTGCTTGAGTCCAGAATAAGCGTCGCAGGAAATGCATGACCTGAGAGGGTTTCTTGATGATCCCTTATTAATATAACTTTTTGCACTGATATTATCTGTGTATATGATGACTTTCTTGTTGCATAAGCACGGGACCCAACACGGTAATGCAAGCACTATTGTGATTACCTCTTTTGTGTTCATGTGCTGTTTGGTTATAAAGGTTAGATCGATTCGCCTGCTAACATAAAAATAATCGCCATCATAGACCCTCCCCCCCCCCTCAGTAACAATAGTTGTTATCGGTCTAGCTTCCTAGCTTTTAAAAATTTCACTGTCCCATTAAACTTGTGCATATAGGTTGATCACCAACCCTACATGTCAAGGTCTCGACTATCCAGGATGATGCCCCCAATCCCCCAAAAATCTTTTATCTTACACATTTACCTGGACTAGGCCTATGTACCTCACCATGTGTAGTATCAGTAATTTGGTGGGTAGGGGTTAGTCGTCCTAGTGGTTGCTGCGGTTTAGGAGGGAAATTCAGTGGAGCTTGACTATTACGGCTTGGTTCTGGGCTTGTGATCCTGGCCAATCACAATTTCATCTCTAGTTCATTTATCCGTTTGGCGAGGCGAGCCTTTTCCACCTCCATTTGTAATTTCCTGCAGGATTGCTGGAGCGAATCAATTTCAGCCTTATAAGTACAAGTATCTATGGTTCACATGGGTGGGCAGTTTAGCTGTGTGGAAGTCACTGCTCATTGAAGACATATTTTAATTTTGCACCGATCCCAAGATCTATGCCTTGTGTTTTTGTATCAGCATCGGTCGATAGGAGTGGTCGAGGCGAATTATGGACACCGTTCTGACCACTCATATCCACGTTGTCATGGACACCATCACACGCCGGTAAAATACTTGATAGTATGCCGTGCTCGATATCTTCAACAAGGTCTTCATGTTTAACCCTCTCCAAGTATTCGGACAGTTTTGCCCCTACATTATGTCGTCGGCTTCTGCTCATATTATTGAACTGTTAGTGTAATTATAGTGTTAAAACCTGCTCACGCTTGCTGTTGGCAAAGCACATGGCTGCTCACATTGAACTATAATACGAAACTAAATAAAATAATACAGAAAGTTATTCCCCTATAATTTCGTAAAACTTAATTTACATAAAAATTAACACTGTATTAGATCAGTGTATGTAGAACAGACTGCTTCAACCCCACCACATCAACACCTTTTACCAACATCCCCATCGCAAACACCCTCTACAAACAACACCCGTTACCAACACGAAACGAAAATCACTTCTACGCCCCTGATTTAGATTTAGCTGTTACAAAATTAGTTTATTAATATGTTTGTTTTTGTAGAACGTGTATCCATGGGGCGACCCTTTCTTTTCAATGACTGACTGTGATGGACCAAGTTTGTATCGCGCTGGTAAAAACTGTGACCCTGAGTGTGAAATCCCGGAACCTGGTATATTCCAGATAGATCTGCGTGGTACTGGTCTTAAACATAAACCATTTGTAAGTAATGTATTAATAATATATATATATAATGTCCTTATCCTTGAGATAACTTATTATGATGAAGGCTTTGATAATGGTTTTCTAACAACAAAATATGCCCTTGGGAATTGACCGACCATTCCCTATTAATTAACTGAGAGAAACATGATTGCTGAAACAGTGATAATTCCATCTGAAACAGTGATAATTCCATCTGAAACAGTGATAATTCCATCTGAAACAGTGATAATTCCATCTGAAACAGTGATAATTCCATCTGAAACAGTAACTATTCCATATATTTTATTACTGGGCAGAGAAATCGACACTACCTCAAGACTTTATTTTCATATTACAAGTAAACTAGTTTTCTATCGTACTAAAGATAATATCTGTAAACGTCCACATTTACATATACCGTCAATCTGTACCAACGTCCGCCCGTCCGTTGATTGTTTCTTGTTAGCTCAGTATGGAACAGATCTCTGAAATTGTGACTTTTATCCAATTTCTACAGGAATTGTAAGTGATTTGTTTTATCATAACTGATATAGCTATGCCAAATTGTTATCAAGTCTACGATCGTCAGTCTGTTGTTCACTACTTTTCTACTTACTACTCTAGAGGCTACACATTGATATTTATATTTTATTTAGACGTTAGTCTATGGACAAGCTGTTTTCTCGGACAATGAACAACTAGTAACAGCAAGTTGTGATGATTGTATTAAAGTGTGTAGACCTGTGGCATTTACAGTATTACTGCTGCCGGCATATGGAACAGGTAATATAAGTCGATTTTTATATACCTTCACCTCTCTGATTTTTATATACCTTCACCTCTCTGATTTTTATATACCTTCACCTGTCTGATTTTTATATAATTTTTATATACCTTCACCTCTCTGATTTGGTTGACAATTAGGACGTGAAACCCCATTTCTTTTATTTTTCTCAAAAATATCGATCTGATTTGTTTTGTGGTGTGACAATCGATCGTCCGTTAAGCATTTTACGTCGATCGATCGTTCGTGCAGCTGTCGACACAGTAAATGAACAAGAAAATACAATTTGTAAACAATAATTATTAATTCGCAACAAACATTTGGTATGGTCGTAAATACAGGAGATGATGTTAAATCCATGTTCATCCATTCCTGTATTCTACATGTTATCTTAAATATAGTTTTTCTACTTTCACTTCAGATATTGATTATACCAACACTACCAGACCAGTCTGTCTGTCAAGATCCTAGATATCAGAGGTCAAGATACCAATACTGAACGGAACTAATCGCCATTTAGGAGCTATAGCGTTAATTTCCCGACATAGATGTATAATCGGAGTAAAGTACATGTTTACGTTTGAGTCATAATAAAATTTAATTAAATTGATTTAAATTGAATTGATTTGACGTGTTATTTATACATTCTGATTAATCGCTTTAATCAAAGCATAAGACACCCCTACACCCCTAAAATCTCAGATTCTCCGTTTTCTTAGGACATGTACTCAGAAGACCGACTTTGAGTCAGCATGTACATTGGTATTTAGCAAACTAAGGGAAAGGGGATACTCCAAACGCTATCTACGACGTATAAAAAACAACACTCTAGCTGAGCTTGCCGCCAAAGAAACAAATAATATACAATCAGCAGTTAAAACCAAAATTTGTGGCCATCCAAGATGTCAAACATGCAAAATCTTAAACATATCCGACCATTTCCATAACAAAACATCTGGCACAAAATTCCCAATATTAGACCAACTTTCATGCAGTAGTTCAAACATAATTTATCTAATTTCATGCAGAAAATGTGACAAGGAATACGTAGGGGAGACTCAAAATGCACATAGGGAAAGAATTAACGGTCACCGGTAAGACATAGTCACCAAAAAAGACAAATCTGTCTCAATTCATTTCAACCAACCAAATCATGACATTTCTGATCTCATTGTCACGCCAATAGAAAAGACCAAGAGCGACTTTGAAACTTCAGAAGAAATTAAAACGTTTAGGCTAACAAGAGAAAAATTCTGGATTGACAAATTGAAAACAACAGCCCCCCCCCCCCTAGGTTTGAATAGTCATACGGCTATCGCAATAGCTCCTTTTGTAGTTCCATTTAGCGCAACAGCAGCAAGTGCATCCAAAATCATCAGAAAACTCTATACTGATCTCCAAGAAAATCACCCGAAAATATTCACACAGAAACTTATAATTGCATAATAATATTCTAAAAATAAAAATCTGAACGACATCCTAGTGCACAGTAAATTAGATTAAATAAGACCAGTCTCCACCCTGACCCAAAACAAACCATATATCAAATCCTATCCCTAACCGTTAGTAAATAAAATCAGTTAGATATAAGAATCCCTAGCCCTAACCCGGTGATGTGGAACAAACACGATTTTTTTAGAAAATCCAATCCTTAGTGGGAAACACACTAATGTGGCTCTCTCCCGAGAGCCTCAAATTTATTTTCTTTTTTCTTCAGAAACAATAATACCAGAATACCAGAAGCACCACCCAAGGAAGACCCTCAGCGCCACCAACACCAATAAACAGTGAAATCGCCTTTGTATATAAATCTAATGTATTGTATGTATTTTTAATAAAACTAGGAAATATCACGAACTAATTTTTCATCATCCTAGGTCAGTGCTTATGTGGAGACTTAACCTCTCCCCCAAATTCTTAAACCTAACCCGGTAAAGTTGCTGAATATATTTTAAAACAAGAATTAGTCCCGCCCTATTATTCAAATCCAAGACCTACTTCGATGCAATCCAATTATCCAGTACCAACAAGGTGAACAATTGCTTTGTAGGGACAATGTCGAATTTGCACACTAAATACCATTATTGAGTCATCCAGTGAATTTTACTGATAATCAAGTATATGGCTTAGTACTAACTCTTTACACAACATTTATCAAGTGACAACGATGTTCCAGGGAATTAGGATATGTTCACATTTACAAATCATTAGCGAGGTGGGGCTTTGGTCGATGGGATCATCCGTTGACCGATCCCTTAATCTACCCCCGGTAAATATTCATGATTTTGAGGTTGAAGGATCAGGAAGCAATGCGTGTCATGGATTAGGGAAACCCAATATTAAAATGACGTCACAGCCTACGCCGATTCGGTCAACCCCCATTCAGTATTTTTATCAGATGATTGTCACGTGGTGGACTCATTGTGATATGTTGGACTCATTGTGGTTGTAAAGATTAACATCTTAAACATTCAAACATCTGTGCATCTTCTTTCAGTCCAAAACCCTATACTGCTTGTAATCTGGATGCAGACCACAACACATAACAGTATATCAATGTCTTGAAACATACAAGGTTGTCGTCACAGTTTGTCCCTTGAAACATACCAGGATGTCGTCACAGTTTGTCCTGCTATTTTTTTTTTTTATCTCTAAGGCCTTCGATCGAGTTTATCACAGAGGCCTGATTTAAAAGCTAAAAGGATGCAGTATTGACGATCTGTGTCTTAACTGGTTATCAAGCTATATCAGTAACGGGAAACAGGCGGTAACCGATTGCGCCAAACTAGAAGCTTTCCGCGTCATTACCGGTTTACCCAAATATATGCAAGGAAACAATCCCTATATCTCGAAACAGGATGGGAAAGCTTTTTCTAAAGCAGCCATCAAACATATTCCTGAAGTATTGGACCAACAAATTCGCCTCTGACCATTGCTGGATTCACTTTTGATTCTTCAGTTTTTGAGGGAGTGCGTCTATTCTTCCTATTCAATCAAATCTATCCCAAGTACAGCAACATGACAGCCCTTCTTTTAACATGGGGTCTTCCCTAAAACCTTGGAAAGTGATTTAAGGTATTAAAAAAGGGGAAAGTATTGTTCGTCTCCACCAGTATTATTTGTGTTGATAGTTTCGTTTGTCACGCAATTGGTTTTTCTGCAATAGTCTGCTATACGCTTGTCAATTTGGCATAATAAAATCGCCCACATTTTGCAATAGATGGACAGAGAACAAGCTCTAAAAAAGAAGTGATTTTTCGTACAATCAAGGGCCATAATTCAGGAAATTACAATCCGATATGCATGAATATTGAAATAACCAAGATCTTTGGGTAATAAGCATGTATTTCAAGTTCCATCAAAATCGGATCAAAATTGTGTCCTCTCTCTAGAGGGTCCAAAACCTTGATATACCATATATTTACAATATTTGCGTACGAAGGGCAGCCATTTTGTCCGGCAGTTTTGGTCCGATTTGTACGAAATTCGGACTCAACCATCAAAAGGATGTAACAGTGATATATGCAAAAGTTTTTTTAAATCGGATAAAAATTGTGACATCAAGAGGATCACAATCAAGGGCCATAATTCAGGAAATTATGATCCAATATGTGTGAATATCGAAAGCGACCAAGATCTTTGGGTTATAAATATGTATTTCAAGTTTCATCAAAATCGGATCAAAATTGTGACCTCTATAGGGTCCACAACCGTGATATATACCATATTTTACGCTATTTGAGAATGAACGGCGGCCATTTTGTCTGTCAATTTTGGGCCGATTTTCACGAAATTCGACCTCAGCCGTCCTTAGGGTGTAACGATGATATAATAATACGTTTTTTTTTTAAATCGGATCAAAATTATGACCTCTATAGGGTCCACAAGCTAAAAACGTGATTTTTCGTACAATCAGGGGCCATAAGTCAGGATATTACGGTCTGATATGCGCGAATATCGAAAGGAACCGAGATCTTTGGGTTATAAACTTACATTTCAAGTTTCAACAAAATTGGATAAAATTGTGACCTCTATAGGGTCTACAACCTTGATATACCATATTTTTACGCTATTTGAGAACGAGGGCCGGCCATTTTGTCTGTCAGTTTTGGGCCGTTTTTCACGAAATTCGAACTCGGCCATCCTTCGGGTGTAACGGTGATATAATAATACGTTTTTTTAAATCGGATAAAAATTATGACCTCTATAGGGTCCACAAGCTAAAAACGCGATTTTTCGTACAATCAGGGGCCATAACTCAGGAAGTTAGATTTCGATATGCGCGAATATCGAAATGAACCAAGATCTTTGGGTTATAAGCATACATTTCAAGTTTAAACCAAATCGGATAAAAATTGTAGCCTCAACAGTGTTCACAAGCTAAAAACGTGATTTTTCGTACAATCAGGGGCCATAATCCATGAAGTTACTGTCCGATACATGCCAATATCGAAAGGAACCGAGATCTTAGGGTGATAAACTTATATTTCAAGTTTCATTGAAATCGGATAAAAATTGTGACCTGTAGACTGTTCACAAACAATTGTGGACGGACGGACGGACGGACGGGGGCGACGACAATATACGCCCACATGATAATATGGGCGTATAAAAATATTTGGTCCAATTTGGAGCTATGTTTAAAGCGTAATGATATTGTTACATAGTTAGGTATTGGTTGTAAATCGGACTATTGACCAGTCATAATTTGGAACAGAAATTTGCTTCCTTTACAGCAGTGTTAAGTGGGATTAGATATAATCAAACGAAACATTGCGAGGAGTATGACATCAAAGGAAGCTCTCAACTCTATACGAAATTTATAATAATCCATGTCTTAAAAAAGCATAAAACCAATACTACATACACACTATGAAACCCTCAACACCTAATATCATCATTCGATAGAACCACATTCAAAAAATCCTTCTTCTCCTCTACCATCAAAGGAAGGAATCATCTGAATACTACCACTAAGATATCGAGAAATAAGTCAGTTTTCTAATATCAATCAAACCTACATCCACCACAATTAGCGGCTACCTGGCAGGATACGCCCACATTTTGCAAGAGATGGATAGAGAACAGGCTAAACAAAATGCGATTTTTCGTACAATCAAGGGTCATAATTCAGGAAGTTATGATCCGATATTCGCGAATATCGACAGGAATCACGATCTTTTGGTTATAAAGATATATTTCAAGTTTCATCGAAATCAAATCAATATTGGGTTTCCTAGAGGGTACACAATATTGATATACCATATTTACACTATTTGCGTACGAGGGACGGCCATTTTGACCGGCAGTTTTATATTCAAACGTTTTTTTCAATCGGATTAAAATTGTAACCTCTAGAGGGGCCACAAGCTAAAAATGCGATTTTTCGTACAATCCAGGGTCTTAATTCACGATGTTATGAACCGATATGTGCGAATATGTTTGGGTTATAAACATGCACTTTAAGTTTCATAAAAATCAGATGAAAAGTGTGACCTTTAGAGTGCCTACAAGATAAAAAACGTGATTTTTCGTTCAATCAAGGGTCATAATCCATGAAGTTATGGTCCGATAATATGCCAATATTGAAAGGAACCGAGATCTTTGAAG